TAGTAGAGACGGGGTTTCACCATGTTGACCAGGATGGTCTCGATCTCTTGACCTCATGATCCACCCGCCTCGGCCTCCCAAAGTGCTGGGATTACAGGCTTGAGCCACCGCGCCCGGCCAACAAGGTATTATTGACCCTTAAACAAAATTGGTTTGAGTCTGGGTGCGGTGGGTTATGCCTGCAATCTCAGCAGTTTGGGAGGACGAGGAGGATGGGTCACCTCAGGTTGGGAGTTCAAAACCACCCTGACCAACATGGAGAAACCTGTCTCTACTAAAAATACAAAAAATTAGCCGAGCACGGTAGTGAGTGCCTGTAATCCCAGCTACTCGAGAGGCTGAGGCAAGAGAACCGCTTGAACGCAAGAGGTGGAGGTTCCAGTGAGCTGAGACTGCACCATTACACACCACCCTTAGCAACAAAAGGGAAACTGTTTCAAAAAAAAGAAAAAAAAAGGTGGGGGGGCTTGAATGGCACAGGTTCAATCATATGCAGACTTTTCTCAACCTCCGCTACCTGCGTGGGAACAAGACCAACTCTTCCTCTTCTTCAGGCTACTCAGTTTTGTTCTGTTTGTTTTGTTTAGAGTCTCACTCCGTAGCGCATGCTGGAGTGCAGTGGTACATTCTCAGCTCACTGCAACCTCCACCTCCCGGGTTCAAGCAATTCTCCTGCCTCAGCCTCCTGAGTAGCTAGGATTACAGGCATGTCCCACCAGGCCTGGCTAATTTTGTATTTATACTAGAGATGGGGCTTCACCATATTGGCCAGGCTTGTCTCAAACTCCTCACCTCATGATCCACCCACCTTGGCTCCCCAAAGTGCTGGGATTGCAGGCATCAGCCACCGTGCCCAGCAAAAAGAATTCCTTTAGGATGATCCACTTAATCAATAGTCAATATGTTTTTACTTCTTTATGATTTACTTTAACATTTCTTTTCTCTAGCTTACTTTATTTTAAGAATACCAAATATAATAAACCAAACAGAGAGGAACTGTGGTTTATATCTATCATCCCAGCACTTAGGGAAGGACTGCTTTAGGCCAGGAGTTTGAAACCAGCCTGGACAACACAGCAAGACTCACATCTCCAAAAAATATAATTTAAAAATTAGCCCAGCATAGTGAAACTTGTCTGGAGTCATGGCTACTCAAGAGTTTAAGGCAGGAGGATTGCTTGAGCCTAGGAGTTCGACATTGTAGTGAGCTATGATCACGCCCCTACATTCCAGCCTTAGTAACATGAGACAGTATCGTCATATATATTTACACATATACACCAATATACAAATTATGTATTAACTGACTGATTGTGTTATTGAGAAAGCTTCCAGTCAACAATAAGCTATTAACATTTTTTTGAGACAGATTTTTGCTCTTGTTGCCCAGGCTGAAATGCAGTGGTTCAATCTCGGCTCAATGCAAACTTTACCTCCCAGGTTATAGTGATTCTTCTGCCTCAGCCTTCTGAGTAGAAGGGATTACAGGAGTCCACCACCACACTTGTCTAATTTTTTGTATTTTTAGTTGAGGTGGGGTTTCCTCATGTTGGCCAGGCTGGTCTCAAACTCCTGACCTCAGGTGATCCCCACGCCTGGGCATTCCAAAGTGCTGGGATTACAGGCGTAAGCCACTGCACCCAGACAACATTTAACTTTTTATATAGTCAAAAGTTAAAGCCAGACCATCTACCATGCAGAGATTAAGAGTTTCTTAACATGCACTTTGTTCAAGGGTCTATTGTATTGCTTCTGTTTTGAAATGAGGTCTCACTTTGTCATCCAGGCAGGAGTGCAGTGGCAAATCTTGGGTCACTGCAATGTCCGCCTCCTGGGTTCAAGCCATTCTCCTGCCTCAACCTCCAGAGTAGCCTGGACTAAAGGCATGCACTACCACACCTGGCTAACTTTTGTATTTGTAGTAGAGAAGGGGTTTCATCATGTTGGCCATGTTGGTCTCGATCTCCTGACCTCAAGTGTTCCACCCACCTTGGCCTCCCAAAGTGCTAAGATTGCAGATGTGAGCCACTGCACCTGGCCAGTCTGTTGTATTCCCTACCATGTTCCAAATCACTGATCGGTGTAGATGACCAAGAAACACTTGTTCTCTGTTTGACTCAGGAAGAAATGATGTCATCCTTACCTATAGACTTCAGGTTCCTGATGGTTTCCTGCATCACATCTCTGTAGAGATTCTTTTGGGAAGGATCCAGCAGAGGCCACTCATCCTGGGTAAACCTCACAGCCACATCCTCAAAGGTCACTGAGTCCTGAAACATCCCCCAGGGCAGAGGAGGAAGGTTAAGACCAACAGTGCTAGGAATCTACACTTAAGAAGAAGTTCACACAATGCTACAGACTCCACAAATTTATTCAATGACTTGGTCATGATACTCTTGTCCTCTGTCTACACTCACTTTCTCCAACATAGCAATTCTGATGCTAGAACTCAACATATTCAGTAAAGTATCAAGATGAACAAGCCTCTCATTCACTATTTCAGAAAGTGAGATATGCTGCCCAGATCACCTCTAGTGTCTGTCTGTATTCATACTACGTCTGTGTCTGTACTAACTCGTATATGAGACACAATATTAGCCAGGGGAGGTGGCTCAGGCCTGTAGTACCAGCATTTTGGGAGGCTGTGAAGTGCATCACGAGGTCAAGAGATAAAGACCCTCCTGGCCAATATGGGGAAATGCTGTCTTTACTAAAAATACAAAAATTAGCTGGGCACGGTGGCACGTGACTGTAGTCCCAGCTACTGGGAAGGCTGAAGCAGGAGGATTGCTTGAACCTGAGAAGTGAAGCTTGCAATGAGCTGAGATTGCACCACTGCACTTAAGCCTGGAAACAAAGCGAGACTTGTCTCAAAAAAAAGAAAAAAAAAAAAGACAGTATTAGCAGTTGTGAGACAACATATCCCTACACATGCTTATTTAGAAAGTTGGACGATGATGATATCTCACAGCCAGATTGAAGGAGAGCTGCACCAACATAACAAAGAAAAGAAGCTGTGTATGCCTAAACTATTTATTCAAACAGTATAATATTTGCCACTGGGCATAGTGGCTAACGCCTATAATGCTAGCACTTTGGGAGGCTGACATGAGAGAACTGCTCAAGCTCAAAAGTTCAAGACAAGTCTGGGCAACATGTTGAAACCGCATCTCGACAAAATATAGAAAAATTAGGCAGGCATAATGGCACATGCCTGTAGTCCCAGCTACTAGGGAGGCTGAGCTGAGAGGATTGTTTGAGCCTAGAAGGTGGAGGCTGCAGTGAGCCATGAGTGTATCACTGAACTCCAGCCTGGGTGACAGAGTGACATCCTGTCTCAAATTAAATTGAAAAATAAATAAAGGGCAGAGCACAGTGGCTCACGCCTGTAATCCCAGCTTTTTGGGAGGCTAAGGTGGGCAGATCACGAGGTCAAGAGATTGAGACCATCCAGGCCAACATAGTGACCTCCCATCTCTACTAAAAATACCAACATTAGCTGGGCATGGTGACATGCACCTTCCAGCTACTCGAAAGGCTGAGACAGGAGGATGGGTTGAACCTGGGAGGCAGAGGCTGCAGTGAGCTGAGATTGCACCACTGCACTGCAGCCCGACAACAAAGCGAGTCTCAATCTCAAAAATAAATAAATAAAATAGTATTTGCTTAATTTCCATCTATCTTCTGAGAGTTTTAAATTTTGTTGCAGAAACAGAAGAGGAACACACGTGATTGGCCACTTCTAGGTTTGAATGTTTATACCCCCAAAAATTAATACTGAAATTTCATCCCCAATGTGTCAGTATTGAAAAGTGGGGCCTTGAAGAGGTGATTGTGTCATGAGGGCTCTGCCTTATGAATGGATTAATTCACGGATGGACTAAAGGTTTAATGAGTTAATGGGATATCCTGGGAGTAAGACTGGTGGTCTTCGAAGAAGAGGCCAAGACACCAGCTAGCACAATCAGCTCCCGCCTGAGGAAAACTCTCCCTCCATTGCTTTAGATGGTGAAGACTCCCTACCAGCAAGGCTTTCCCCAGATGCGCCCCCATGCCCTTAGACTTCCCAAACTTCAGAAATGTACAAAACAAATATGTCTTGTGTATTACCCATTTTCAGGTATTCTTTTCTAACTATCATGAAACAGACTGAGATGCCCATGAAAAAAAACTCTGGGGCTGGGCAAGGTGGCTTACGCTAGTAATCCCAACACTTTGGGAAAGCGAGGTGGGCGGATCACAAGGTCAAGAGATTGAGACCATCCTACCCAACATGGTGAAACCTGTCTCTACTAAAAATACAAATAAATAAATCAGCTGGGTGTAGTGGTGCACATCTGTAGTACCAACTACTCAGGAGCCTGAGTTAGGAGAATCGCTTGAACCTGGAAGGCGCAGGTTGCAGTGAGCTGAGATTGTGCCGCTGCACTACATCCTGGTGACAGAGCGAGACTCTGTCCCACGCACACACAAAAAAAACTCTAAGCACTATGCATCTAATGAGTGACCTTGGTACGTAACATTTCACATGTTCTGTCAGCTCTTGTTAACTGGGTGATTTAGCCCATCCTACGTGATTACAATAAGAGAACATCTGGAAGCGGGTAACTGGGTTTTGTAGATTAAATTTAATGAAGTATAACAAAAGG